CAAAATATCGCACAGATTCATAGTGCCGTAGAGGTAATTATTGTATTAACGTGATAATTTTTTTTTACGTTTACTCAACCGACATACACTGGCAATCATAAATAATGCAACAAAAAAAAAATTTTAGTTAGATCGTATTATCTCATGCATTTCCGGGCGTATCTGCTAATTTTTTTTTTTATTTTGTTCGCAAATAGCATCTTTTTCATTAATAAAAAGTTTAAAAAAATAAATGATCAAAATTTTCCACGGGCACGAGCTTTATTTCAATTGTTGTGTTGCATTATTTTTGCTCGTTTTTACAGCAACACGACCATAAAACTAAAAAAAATTTTTTTACATAAAAATAAAAAAAATTTTTTTTTTCTATTTAATAATTTTCAGTCATCACCATCTGGTGTAGCCGCCCCGAGCCCTGATTACATCACGGATTCGTTCTGGCATTGAACGGATCAACCTTATGCAGGTTTCAACATCGATTGCCTGCCAGACCACTTGAATTTTTTTCCAGAGGTCCTTCTCACTTGAAATTTGACCAGGAAGATCCCTAAGGTGACAGTCAACTTTGTCCCACAAGTGTTCAATCAGGTTTAGATTGGGTGATTGGGGGGCCAGTCAAAAAACTTTACCTTGTTTCTTTTAAGCCAATGTCTAGTCAAGGTTGTCATATGACAAGATGCTCCATCTTGTTGAAAAACAATTTTCCTGACTTCAAATCCATAATACCTGATCGTCTACATCAAATCTTCATAGAGTATTTGACGATACAACTCGCCATCCATTGAACCATCGACCTTGCAATAGCTGCCAATGTTATGAGAGGAAAAGCACCCCCAAATCATAACTGAACCACCTCTGAATTTTATAGTGGGCCTAACATGGTATTGGTTTAACAGTTCTCTATTATGCTTCCAGTAATATTGCTTACCATCTGACCCAAAAATTTGGAACTATGACTTATCCGACCAAATTACCTTTGACCAGTCTTCGACCATCCAATTTTCATATTTTTTTGCAAAAGTGAGCCTCACTTTTCGATGACTGTTACTTAGGTAGAGTTTTTTTTTCTTAACCCTGATACCAACCCATGGTTTCAAAGTATATAGTGAATAATAGATACCGAAATTACAATATTTTCATTTTTTTTAAGGTGAGACCTCACTTCAACAGTAATAGAGCAGCAATGAGAGGTAATAAGATTAACTATTTTTCTTTGGGTTGGTTTGCTCAGCAAAGTTGGGCAATCAACCCTTCCTAAATCTTCAACTGAGCAGTTTTCTAACCATCTTTTTTTAATTCGCAAGACTGTGGAAAAACTAATATTGTGAGCCCAACCCACTGCCCTTGTGGTGGACTCTTTTTGAAGCGAAAGTAATATTTGGGCTCGTTGAGAGGGTGTTGTTCTTTTTTTTTTCTGATCTGATTATCAATCAAGCCTAACATTGTACAAAATATATGAGATTTACATTTTATATATATTTACATGACACAGGTCATGCGATCTGATTTTTGTCAAAAATAAGCAAAAATAATACAACATGTATTTCGTAATACATGCGTGATTATTTTGCATTAGCAATAATAATGACTGCTAAAATTCTAGGATTAGAAAAAGATGCTATTTGTGAACAAAATAAAAAAAAATTAGCAAATATGCCCAGAAATGCGTGAGATAATATGATCTAACTAAAATTTTTTTTTGGTGCATTATTTATGATTGCCAATGTATTATATTAGTCACAAAAACATAGAATTGAGGTAGATCCGAAAGATGAAGAAGTTCCTGTTGTAATGTATGAAATTGTTACAAATATATTACAATGGTATTCTTTTCATTGGGCAGGTTCATTAGATGATCCAACAGTTGAATTATCTGGTCTGTATATTTGTGAATTCGATAGTAACACTATAGAACATATAAAGATAATTATCAGTTGTATTGCTTCTATCTTCCAATATCAAGTCTAAGGATATAATAATAACTCAAAACGTACACATATTAAGAGGCATCATACTAGTTAGATATTAAGTTTTTTTATATATTTTAAATTAGCCTTTTTTTATATGTATATCATGTTTTTGAACATTAACTGGCTATTCACAAAACGTTATTTTGAATAGTCAATAAAAATTTAAGGCAGGTCTTTTATATTATAGTATAGTGTTTTGTAATATTTTTTTTTTTTTTTTACTTATTGGTCTTGATTTGCTATCAATTGGCACTTTATCACTGGTATATTGTTACGATTATCAAATTACCTTGATTTCGCCAAGTTGGGATTAAAGGAGATTTTGATTTCTCTGAAGTAGTAATCATGATTTGTTGAAAGATCAGATTAATATTGACAATTTTTCAACTAATAAGAGGACCAAGATTAAAAAAACATAACAGAGTAGATAGTTTTTGACAAAAATGATTTCAGTGTATGCAAAAAATAGTAGATTCTGAATAATCTACATATCAATAAAGCTGTCCCTGGTGGCCAATTTTACATACATAATCATGTTTACTTTTGCATGTGTGTTTCATGAATTTATTTATTTTATTATATTGTATCGGTGTATATTAACTTGTATATGATCGAAAATTTTTAAAAATATTTCTTGATAAAAGTGATCAGCATAACAAATTGTCATGTGATATAATTTTTTTATTTAAATAAAAAACATTAACTACTAAGAAAAAATATTTTTCAAAACGTGTACAGTAAATTCTTTTTTTAAGTGTTATATAAATTAATATCAAATATGCAAACTTGAAGAGATGAACCTAAAGATTTATTTAAATTAGATTTATTAAAACTAGAAAATATTAGGTTTATGACTAGAATCACAAAATTAGAACAAATAGTAAAAGAAAAAAAATGCATTTAAGACTAAGCTAAAACAGATTATAGAAGAAAATGCTAAGAAAGCAAAGTTAAGAGATGTTGAGCTTAATACAAGAATCATAGAACTAGAACAGTTAGCAAAAGAAAATGAAGACCGATTTGCAAAATTGGAGCAAAAGCAAAAGCAAAACAATAATGTAGGTAGATTAGAAAATAGTGATAATTCATCTGAAAATATATCTGACCTTGTTATAAAATCATTAGAGGGTGATACCTCTTTTTCTAGTATATCAGAAAATGCTTTAAGTTCCAATATACATCAGAAATCGAAGATTCAATGCTCTATATCATCTATTCATATAGAGTTTAAATTACCTGAAGAAATCAGATTTCTGGGTCAGGTATATAAAGAACAGATTAGTGATGAAATAAGAGAAAGGAACTGGAAGAAGAAGCTTAGATCTCAAGATTTATTTTCAGATAATAATTCTTCAGAACAGTTTAATTCATTATATAATGTAAAAACTATTACATTCAAAATGAATCCAAAGAATTCAAATCTGAACATTCCAAAAATAAGTTCTAAGTTCAAATCACCTACTAATCCATTGTCTAATCAGAAAATTCCTTATAATCAAAAAAGTAGAATAAGGTTTAAGACTCAAGCTATTTATTTGTATCAAAGATAATAACTATAATATTAATAAAGTATTTGATATTCAGATTCCTAAATTTTCTTTAAAAGTGATTTTAACAGGATCTGGTAAGGTTACATTACAAAATATAGTTGATCTATTTAGGGTAGCAATAAAGGTTCAACAAAAGGAAAGTCTGTATTGGTATTGTTATTATAAAGCATATAAAAATCAAGTTATTGATATTAAGTCTGCGAATATTGATGACCAATCGGCAAGAACAATAGTATATAATGAAATCAAATCACTCCTTCCCAATATTACTGATATAAACTTGCATAAAATAACTTCCAGAGCAAAAAAAGTATATATATTCTATAAAGGAGTAGGAATTGATAAAATTAGTCAAATAACTTACAATGCAAGTGCTATTTCGAGTCTAAAGGATATTCAAATTCAAAACCTTATAACTGATTTTACCAAGTTATTGACAGATATGATCTGTGTGACAAATTGTCATACACACATGACTGGACCATCTAGCTCAAAAGATGTATCAAATATTAAGGCAAGTATACCTACTGAATTATCTCATACCTCTAATTCGGATGATATAATAAGTGAGAATAACAAATCTTTACCGGAAATGGATACTGAAAAAGAGATTTTTATCAGAAATGAATTAGATATTGATGCTCTTATTCTTCTTTTATAGCAGAAGTTTAAAATATCAAAGAAAATATTAGATAAATAAAAAGCTAATATCGTCTTTAAATGATGAAATAATAACAATTACTAGAAAAAAGAACATGAGAGTATGAGTAAGGCTGATTTCTTGGAATACAAGAAAAACTTCGAGGCTAAAATGAGTCTCCACTACTTCATACAAAAAAGAATTAAAAAATAAATCTTTAGCCCTTATTGAATATATATAATTTTAGAGATAAAGTAATAATGGCACAATATGCTAAAACCCTCTTTATTTCATGCAACACATAGTGTAAGTTACTCCAAAATATTATATTTCAAAATAATAACACTTTAGTGCCCAGAACCTTTATTATAAAAATAAAAATAAAAAAAATGTTGCCAAAACAACAATATACAAATAAAAAAAAATATTATTTTTTTATATTAGCATAACCAGCATCATTACCTTTGCCATTTTCTTGATTAGAAATAAATTTGTACTTCAGGTTTATAGTATATTGTAACTGCACTGTTTTCAGAAGTGGACCTAGTGTTTGGAATCGCAAAAATTATGCAGATGGTTAATCACATCACCTAATTAGGAGTTACACAATTAATAATTATTTAACCATTTATTAATCGTTTAATCATTTAACCATTTATTTTATCATTTAACTATTTAATCGTTTAACCATTTATTTTAATTGCTTAATCATTTAATTATTTATTTTAATCACTTAACCATTTAATCGTTTAACTGTTTAATCATTTAACCATTTATTTAATCACTTAATCATTTAATTGTTTATTTAATTATGAAATCATTTATTAATCGTTTAACTGTTTAGCTGCTTTAACTATTTATAAATTGTTTAACTGTTTATCCATTTAACTGTTTATTTAATCATTTAACTGTTTATCTGCTTTAACTATTTATTAATTATTTTAACCATTTGATGTTAATGATCATATTGTCTAACTATATTTATATAACAATAATTATCAAGATCTAGTCTAAAGCTTGTATTATTTATATATATTATGTTAGAGATTATTTAAAATTGATATAAAACTATTGTTAAATTGCTAATGCTAATTAGCCAAATTTACAATTCAATTTATTTGTTTACCTCTATTTTCAGTTAAAATTTCATAGCAAAAATAATAAAATTTATGTATAAAATCTTTAGTGCTATCTATATTAATAACAAATAATTTTCTATTTATCAAGTTATAGCCACAATAACCAAACATGAGCTGTAAATATAACAGATAATTGAATAGTACCATTTTTCAAACTACAACTGCAATTCTTATAAAAACCTTTCCACTATGTTATCCTATCTAATATAATTATATTTGCCATTAGTACTTTTAACCTTCATAATTACAACGAATATATTTGCTTATAGCAATTTCATAGCACATTCCTCTAATAGATAAAAGCATTAGTATACTTTTGATAATAATAATTCCTAATGTTTTCGTATTTGTCCTTTTTAGCCTAGATAAGTATAATCTTTTTTTTTTTAATTATTATTCAATTAAACCTATTGCAAATAATATGAGAAAAAATCATATATGAAAAAGAATTGTATATGAAAAAAATTATACTTGAATCTAAAATTATATATAAAATTTTAAACCTACTTAGTTGTTTAGTATTATGCTTAAAAAAAATAATCTTTTCAATGATCTTTAAGCTTAATCATATACGTTGAGGAGTAATCTGGTTTTTTATATCTGAGAAAAGTCTCTTGCAGAGGACTAATGTTGCTGGTATACACAAATATTTACATGCTAAAAATAACAAAATTAGAAACTCAGTTTTATACTCATTCTACTATTGCCAAGAATTGGAATTATAATTAATAGGGGCAATTTTTAGATATTGTGCCACTTCATCTAAAGGCATATCTTCTTGAACTTGTACTTCAAAAATACCTTCAAAAAATAGATTTTGCATTATTTTAGTAATTATTGGTATTGATATTTGTTGTTTTGGTTGATCATTGCTAGTAATATTAAGGTGCTGTAAATTCTTATATTCATTTTTTAATTTTGTTTCAGCTTTTTCATATTCTCTATTTGTAAATGCAGATATTTTTTTGGTCCAGGGGTCTAAAAGGGTGGCCACCAATCCAACTTCATGGAAATCATGCCAATATTTATTCAAAGTGTTAGAAATAGCAAATTTAAATTACTTTTCTATTTGATCAAAATCAGGTAGTGGTAGTAGAGTATGTAAATAAGTATCATCATTATTATTTTTAGAGTTTAATAATTAATTTAAAAATTAGATTTGATTCTGATTAGTAGCAGATGCTACATTGTGATTAGAAATCATAATAATTACTAATTATTATTAAACTTTAAATACTATTCGTCATATTAGTAAAGTAGAATCGATAAAACCAACAAAGCTTACATCCTTATTATCGCTATTTTCATTATTATCACTTAATTCTAAACTAAAATTCATAAATTTATTTTGTAATTCATAAATAATGAAATATATTAGCGAAAGAGTAAGATATTTGCTTCCTGAAAAGAATTTTGTTGCAAGTTCAAATGGTTTTAATGCATTAACAATTCTTTCTAACAAATCCTACTTATAATCTTTTAGCAGTAAATGAGACAAATTTTGGCTAATTTTTTTATTTCTTTCTCTTTTCTTAAGAGCAACATAGATGCTAACTATGTTATTGTATTTTTTAATTCTAAAAGTCTTGTTTATGAAGAATAACTAAAGTTCTATCTAGTGCAGATATTAGTAATATTGTGTAATACTTTTATTGTAAATTCATCAATTTCTTTATAATCATTATCCTCTTCTTCTGAACCAATTTCATCTATATCGAGAGTTGATAATTGATTAAACTGAACAATCTTAACATCCTTTTCTCAAATATAATTTTGTTGTGCAAGATCTATTTGTGCTATATAAAGCTGCTCGAATTGTTTAACTGACTCTAGTGTTCCAAATCGAAAATCAATTAATCGATTAATTAATTGAATTGGCAACTAATTGATTGATAATTTTATTAAACAACTAATCGGTTGTTGACGATTAATTGATTAATCGATTAACTGATTAATTAATCGAATTGGCAACTAATTGATTGATAATTTTATTAGACAACTAATCGGTTGTTGACAATTAATTGATTAATCGATTAACTGATTAATCGACTAGTTAGTTAATCGATTAATTGACTAATCGACTAGTTGTTTTACAATATGTGGTTTATATCATACCTTGATCTTATATCCAAGCCATTTTTATATACCAACTAGTCGATTGGTCAGTTAATTGATTAATTAACTAATCAATTAATCGATTAGTTGGCTATAATCGATTTTTAATCGATTTTTAAAAAATTTTTTAACCAACTAAACGATTGCATTTTTTGGTCCAATTTGTAACACTAACTGACTCTGTAAATAATTTTACTAATTTTTTAAACCTTTTTATATAAGAAATAATTTTTTTTAGACCTTTTGTCACTAATAGTTGAAGAGTATAAGCAGAACAGGGTAACTATTCAATATTTTTCCACATAGTAAAGGCTTTCTTTATATTTGAGCTATTATCAGTGACTTCTAAAAATATTTTTTCATTTAACCCAAATTTACTTATTTTATTATTAATATAGTCATATATTTTCTCGGCTGTATGAAAATACCACATACGTTCAATGATAAGAAGCATATCAATAATTTCAAAATTAGGCATGAGCCAATGGATTGTAATACTGATATATCTAAATTTGGATCTGGCAGTCTAGAGATCCATAGTAATAATAGCATATTCACATGTTTTATTAATTTTTGTTTTAAGTTTAGCTATTTTATCTTGATAAGCTGCTGCTATAAAATTTTTACATCCTTTATTAGATGGTGGTTTAAATCGTGGATTAATTTTTTTCATAAATCACAGAAATCCTTTTCTACAAAGTGAATTAAAGAGTAGAGAATCTATAACAATCCATTCCATACATGCTGCTTGTAATTCATTTTGTTTACTTGAGCTATATGGTTTTATATTATCTATAACTTGTTCAAGTGTAGCCTGTTCTTTTTTCCTTGCCTATTATTATTAATTTTTTTTTTTTTTAATATTAAGGTGACCATTTAGGTCCCCGGCACTTAGCTTTATTCAGATAAATACAATATTACATTAATTTCATGAGGATACAACTAGTCATACATGTACTTTTGGTACCTAATTTAAGTAGTCCATTTGGGTTCTACACTAGCTGCCATACCTGCAACCTAACTAGAAGTTTACTTATTTAAGCTCTCTGATTATTAACTAATGAGAGTACGACTAGCCATATATACAACTTTTGGTTATCTATTTAAGTAGTCTGTCCTAGGTTCCACACTAGCTGCTGTACCTGCACCCAACTATAGGAGATACCCATTTAAATTCTCTGGCTACATTTCTGTAACACGCTTTACCCTAACACCCTTAACGGGATTAGCAATGTCGTATAAGAACCTAAGACTTTAGCTATATATAGGCATTTATCCTTGTAGTAAACCTAACAGAATGGTATATATCCCACACATGTACTCACCTGCGTATTCGGTAACTTTTCCCTAACTAATACATGTTGTGCTGCTGCTACCAGGTTCGTATCTCAAGCTATCGTTTCGGATACTGCCGTAACTTAGTTCGTATCTCAAACCACAACCTTCCTAATTAGTTCCCACTTACATACTTCTGCTCTTGCAAGGTTCATAACAACCCCAGTACCCACGTTCCAACTTCTTTCTTTCCTAGATTTCTTACTGGTCCCTCTCTTACTTCCAGCCAGCAACCCGGTCAGTTTGCCCAGGCTTTAGATGCCTTACGGTCTCCCTTCCCTTGGTATATGCTTCTAGAACACATGTCCTTTTCTTCTGGTTTTGGCGACCCGACGATTTGGCTAGTGTGTCCCTACTTAAGGACCTGGTCACTTGGTTCTCCAGTCTCAGTTTTCGGTTCCAAATTCAGTCTTCCTGTAGTACCGTCAAAGATTACTACTACTCCCAACTCGGGGCTTGCCAAACAGGTTTTTTCAGTAATTCCGGTTTCCTGGATTTATTGCGCCAAAGCTCCTATTCGAGATGGTGTGACCAAGATTACAGATATCTGGATCCAACCGATAATCTTAATGTATTAGCAAGTTTACTTAACTGCAATGTAACTTATATTTATTATGCATTTAACAAGTAATATTAAATAAGAAAAAAAAAACTTATTAGTATTTTTTTAACTATTATTTATATTCTTTTTCTATTTTAGCAATTTTTTTTTAAAAAAAATACTATTAAATTAGTAAACAAAATTTAAAACCATTTAAAGCCAAATATATTCATATAACTAATAACTAATTAAAATATAAATTTTGATTAATCTAAATTAGCTTGACAAAACAAAAACAAAGAAAAAAAGTAAAAAATTTCAATAATACAAAAAACAAGTATCTAAATGTATTTTGAAGTATTAATAAAAAATATTAAAAAGACAATTTTATTTATAAAAATTGCTCTAACTTTAGCCTTCAAAAGTATTGACAATTATTATATAATATTATATTCTCTATCCTCCTCTCTCTTATATATAAGAAATTTGATTAGCTAGTTTATAAATATATTTTAATATAAGATATCTATAACTTCCTTTTTAGAATATTATATAAAATTTGTTACTGCTCTAACTAACTTTTATTCTAATTTTAATTAAATAATCAAAATATATAAATGTACTAGATTTTAGCTATTCCAAAATTGGCTATCAATTTTGATTATTAGATTAAATATAGTTGGTTAATAAATCATAAATTCTTATAAAATTTCTATTAATTTTTTTTTTTTTTTTTTTTTTATTTCTTTGACAGATCTTGCCATGACTTGATTTCTTAGTTTGTAGTACATTTAATCTATATATATTTATTTCTAAGACTAATTAAAAGCCCGACTTCATCTAACTACTTAAATAGTAACCAAATGCAACCCATCGCACTG